ATATATTTGTGTGTGTATATATTATATTTGTGTGTATATATGTTTCAGCCTCAACACTCTCACCTGGTGGTGCAGCAGCTCTTGGTTCATCTTGACTCTCACAGTCGATCTTCTGCTTCAGTTCGAGCTGGAATCGTCGAGGTTTTGTCTGAGGCGGCGATTATCGGAGCCTCCGGGTCTATAGGTCTGTACTGGTCCTGGTCTAGTCCTGGTCTAGTCCTGGTCTAGTCCTGGTCTGGTCCTGGTTCAGTCCTGGTTCAGTCCTGGTTCAGTCCTGGTCTGGTCCTGGTTTCAGTCCTGGTTCAGTCCTGGTCTGGTCCTGGTTCAGTCCTGGTCTGGTCCTGGTCTGGTCCTGGTTCAGTCCTGGTCTCTGGTCTGGTCTGGTCCTGGTCTGGTCTGGTCTGGTCCTGGTTGGTTCAGTCCTGGTCTGGTCTGGTCTGGTCCTGGTCTGGTCCTGGTCTGGTCCTGGTTCAGTCCTGGTTCTGGTCTTCCTGGTCCTGGTCTGGTCTGGTTCTGGTCTGGTTTCTGGTCTGGTTTGGTCCTGGTCCTGGTCTGGTCTGGTTCTGGTCCGGTCCTGGTGGTCTGGTCCTGGTCTAGTCCTGGTCTGTCCTGGTCTAGTCCTGGTCTGGTCCTGGTCTGTCCTGGTTCAGTCCTGGTCTGGTCTGGTCCTGGTCCTGGTTCAGTCCTGGTCCTGGTCGGTCTTGGTTCAGTCCTGGTCTCTGGTCTGGTCTGGTCCTGGTTCTCCTGGTTCAGTTGGTCTGGTCCTGGTTCCTGGTCCTGGTCTGGTTTCTGGTGGTCTGGGGTTCTGGTCTGGTCCTGGTTCAGTCCTGTCTGGTCTGGTCTGGTCTTCTGGTTCAGTCCTGGTCTGGTTCTGGTCTGGTCCTGGTTCAGTCCTGGTCTGGTCTGGTCTGGTCCTGGTCCTGGTCCTGGTCTGGTCCTGGTCAGTCCTGGTCCTGGTTGAGTCCTGGTCTGGTTCTGGTCTGGTCCTGGTCAGTCCTGGTCTGGTTCTGGTCTGGTCCTGGTCTGGTTCTGGTCTGGTCCTGGTTAGTCCTTCTGGTCTGGTTCTGGTTCTGTCCTGGTCCCTGGTTCAGTCCTGGTCTGGTTCTGGTTCCTGGTCCTGGTTCAGTCCTGGTTGTCTGGTCCTGGTCAGTCCTGGTCTGGTCTGGTCTGGTCTGGTCAGTCCTGGTTCTGGTCTGGTCTGGTCCTGGTTCAGTCCTGGTCTGGTTCTGGTCCGGTCCTGGCTGGTCCTGGTCTGGCTGGTCTGGTCCTGGTTCAGTCCTGGTCTGGTTCCTGGTCTGGTCCTGGTTCAGTCCTGGTCTGGTTCTGGTCTGGTCTCCTGGTCTGGTTCTGGTCTGGTCTGGGTTCAGTCCTGTTCTGGTTCTGGTCCGGTCCTGGTTCAGTCCTGGTCTGGTTCTGGTCCGGTCCTGGTCTGGTCTGTCTGGTCTGGTTCCTGGTCTGGTTCAGTCCTGGTCTAGTCCTGGTTCAGTCCTGGTCTGGTCTGGTTCAGTCCTGGTCCGGTCCTGGTTCCAGTCCTGGTCTGGTTCTGGTTCTGGTCCGGTCCTGGTTCAGTCCTGGTCTTGTCCTGGTTTGGTCCTGGTTCAGTCCTGGTCTTGGTCTGGTTTGGTCCTGGTTCAGTCCTGGTCTGGTCTGGTCTGGTCTGGTTCTGGTCCTGGTCTGGTCTGGTCTGGTCCGGTCTGGTCTGGTCTGGTCTGGTCCGGTCCTGGTTCAGTCCTGGTCTGGTTCTGGTCCGGTCCTGGTTCAGTCCTGGTCTTGTGTGCAGGTCCGCGGGTCTTGGAGGTCTTTAACACTCTTCTTCGTCAGTTGAGGCAGAGCGTTGATTATGAACTCACCGGTTTCTACGACAACGCCAACAAACGACGAACCAGCTCTGTGGAGGAGCGAACCCTGCAGGACGCTGTCATCCGGACCATCGGTCAGAACCAACACCCCGCCCCCCCGTGTGTGTGACAGGTCCCCCCCGTGTGTGTGACAGGTCCCTCCCCGTGTGTGTGTCAGGTCCCTCCCCGTGTGTGTGACAGGTCCCTCCCCGTGTGTGTGTCAGGTCCCTCCCCTGTGTGTGTCAGGTCCCTCCCTGTGTGTGTGTCAGGTCCCTCCCTGTGTGTGTGTCAGTCCCTCCCCTCTGTGTGTGTCAGGTCCCTCCCTCTGTGTGTGTCAGGTCCCTCCCTGTGTGTGTCAGGTCCCTCCTCTCTGTGTGTGTCAGGTCCTCCCTCTGTGTGTGTCAGGTCCCTCCCTGTGTGTGTGTCAGGTCCCTCCCCGTGTGTGTCAGGTCCCTCCTCTGTGTGTGTCAGGTCCCTCCTCTCTGTGTCCCCTCCTGTGTGTGTCAGGTCCCTCCTGTGTGTGTGTCAGGTCCCTCCTCTGTGTGTGTCAGGTCCCTCCTGTGTGTGTCAGGTCCCTCCTCTGTGTGTGTGTCAGGTCCCTCCTCTCTGTGTGTGTCAGGTCCCTCCTCTGTGTGTGTGTCAGGTCCCTCCTGTGTGTGTCAGGTCCCTCCCCGTGTGTCCCTCCTCTGTGTGTGTTCAGGTCCCTCCCTGTGTGTGTCAGGTCCCTCCTCTGTGTGTGTCACGTCCCTCCTCTGTGTGTGTCAGGTCCCTCTCTGTGTGTGTCAGGTCCCTCCTCTGTGTGTGTCAGGTCCCTCCTCTGTGTGTGTCAGGTCCCTCCTGTGTGTGTCAGGTCCCTCCTGTGTGTGTCAGGTCCCCTCCCTCCTGTGTGTGTGTCAGGGTCCCTCCTCTCTGTGTGTCAGGTCCCTCCTCTGTGTGTGTCAGGTCCCTCCTCCTGTGTGTGTCAGGTCCCTCCTGTGTGTGTCAGGTCCCTCCTCTCTCTGTGTGTGTCAGGTCCCTCCCTGTGTGTGTCAGGTCCCTCCTCTCTGTGTGTCAGGTCCCTCCTGTGTGTGTCAGGTCCCTCCCTGTGTGTGTCAGGTCCCTCCTGTGTGTGTCAGGTCCCTCCTCTGTGTGTGTCAGGTCCCTCCTGTGTGTGTCAGGTCCCTCCTGTGTGTGTGTCAGGTCCCTCCTCTGTGTGTGTCAGGTCCCTCCTCTGTGTGTGTGTCAGGTCCCTCCCTGTGTGTGTCAGGTCCCTCCTCTGTGTGTGTCAGGTCCCTCCTGTGTGTGTCAGGTCCCTCCTCTGTGTGTGTCAGGTCCCTCCTGTGTGTGTCAGGTCCCTCCTGTGTGTGTCAGGTCCCTCCTGTGTGTGTCAGGTCTTCTCTCTCTCTCTCTCCTCAGGCTCGTTCGCCCACACGTTGCCCGTCTATCAGAGGTCAGAGGTCATGCTCTTCATCATGGGGAAGATTCCGGTGCCAGGGATTTACCCCGACCTGGGCGCCCCCAACGCCGGGTACAAACTGCCCCTTTCACACACAGATCTGCTCCATCTACTGCCCCTTTCACACACAGATCTGCTCCATCTACTCTGCCCATCTACTGCCCCTGCCCCTGATCTGCTTTACATCACACACAGATCTGCTCCATCTCCTGCCCCTTTCACACACAGATCTGCTCCATCTCCTGCCCCTTTCACACACAGATCTGCTCCATCTACTGCCACACACATGATCTGCTCCAAACACGGAGGCAGAAGTTTAGAGTTACTTTAGAGTCTGAGGCAGAAGTTTAGAGTTTGGGGAAGTGACTTTTCATTGAAATGAAGAGCTTTTTGTTTTCAGGTTTGAAGGAAGTCGTATGATCCAGGTGATGCTCCTCAAGTCTCTGCTGCAGGTCAGACTCCACCTACAACTACAACTTCACTCTCCTCAGTCAAGTTTAAAATCCTCCAGTCGTCCTGGTACAGGCCACGGCAAAAGGAGAAATTCAATTTGTCAAATGGACAAACGTTTATTTGGTCGAAAATGTTTCTCAGCTCATCCAAGCTGCGTTCTTCAGTTCTTTCAGACGCTGGTGACACTGTCTTATATCTGCCTGCAGGGGGCGCTACCTGCACTCACACTCCTCTGACACACTCACTGTTTACTGTTTGTGTTTGTAGCTGCAAACTGCACTGAGTGTGGATCATATCAGCAGAATCACTCAGGTCCATGAAGAGAGTTTTCACTCCTCTGGACCTGACCTGGACCTGACCTGGACCTGACCTGGACCTGACCTGGACCTGACCTGGACCTGACCTGGACCTGACTGTTGTTCTGATGTTTGAATCCTCCAGTTCTTTTCAAAGATGGATTGTCGTTCCTAACAAAAATAGACTCTTTATCTCTCCTCTCAAACCGTTTCTTTTCTCTGGCTAAGAACTTAAAACAAAGAACAACAGTCAGGTCCAGGTCAGGTCCAGGTCAGGTCCAGGTCCAGGTCAGGTCCAGGTCAGGTCCAGGTCAGGTCCAGGTCAGGTCCAGAGGAGTGAAAACTCTCATCATGGACCTGAGTGATTCTGCTGATATGATCCACACACTCAGAGCAGAGGAACAGGCCGAGCTACAAACACAACCTGTAAACAGTGTGTTTTAGTTTCAGAGTAGTTTGAGTGTAGGTAGCTCCTCCCTTCAGGCAGACATAAGGAAGAGTCCCCAGTGTCTGAGCAGAACTGAAGAAGCAACTTAGATGAGCTGAGAAACGGATTCGACCAAATAAACTGACAAATTGAATTTGTCCTTTTGCCATTGATGAGTGACGTTTCCTCCATGTTTCAAACTCTGCTCTGTGTGTGTGTGTGTGTTGTGTGTGTGTGTTGTGTGTGTGTGTGTGTGTGTGTGTGTGTGTGTGTGTGTGTGTGTGTGTGTGTGTGTGTGTGTGTGTGTGTGTGTGTGTGTGTGTGTGTGTGTGTGTGTGTGTGTGTGTGTGTGTGTGTGTGTGTGTGTGTGTGTGTGTGTGTGTGTGTGTGTGTGTGTGTGTGTGTGTGTGTGTGTGTGTGTGTGTGTGTGTGTGTGTGTGTGTGTGTGTGTGTGTGTGTGTCTGTGTGTGTGTGTGTGTGTGTGTGTGTGTGTGTGTGTGTGTGTGTGTGTGTGTGTGTGTGTGTTGCGTGTGTGTGTGTGTGTGTGTGTG